GGACCTCCACCAAACACTGTACATGATGGGTAACCATTATGGCATTTGACATCCCGGTGGTACAGTGTTCAGCATCACAACAACCTCAAGTTACTTCAGTACAGCATATTGACAGACCAGTGCTGTACCATTTAGAAGAATGTTCATCCCAAACACAATTAACACCAGCACTAAGGACCAACCACCTTTTAAATACAAGGTCTGTCCACCAGGTCCTAGTTGACTCTAAACCAAGAGGCTTTCAGCCCACAACTCCTTGTTAGTTAAATCTAGCGAATCTAATCAGCTCACACCAGATTGTGAATGGAAACAAAACTAAACAAAACAAAACAAAACAAAACAAAAAAACCCACTCAACAAAAAATAATCACTCAATCCAAACCCGATCCTCACCAAGACAAGATAAATCATCTTCCAGAATCCATCCACTCCACATATGAGCCTCCAAACTGGAGACTTAGTTGGGCCCAATGACTTTTTAAGCCCTGAGGAAACACTCCTAAAGCAATCTTATCAGGACTGTGACCAGATTAAGGATATTACCACTTTAATATTTTTATGTTGGCTTTTTGTAATGACTAGAAAAGTGTTTTTCTCTTTTGTGTTCACTAATTGTGCTCATGAAAAACCTATACCTGAGCCAGGAGGCTATTGTGCAAGCAGAGCAGGGAACACTGCATGGTTTAAAACTAAGAAGGAAGTGTGTCATGGTTGTTTTCTCTCTCTACATCTTACATATTACTGAATGGTAGGGTCACTTCACAGATTGCTAGGCAAGTGCCTTATAGGACTCCTGTTAGGTGCCATTGAGCCATCTACAACTCATAGTGACCCTATGAACAATGGATCTGAACCTTGCCCGAACTCATGCTACCTTCACCATTTCTGCTCTATTTAAATCCATTGTTGCAGTCACTGTGCCAATCATCTTGTTAAAGGTCGTCTCTCTTTTGCTAACTTTCCATTTTCTGAGCATGAATGTTTATTTCCAAGAATTGGCCCCTTCTAACAACATGCTCAAAATATCTGAAATGAAGTTTCACTGTCTTTGCCTCCAATGAGTACGTTGGTTATACTTTCTTCAAGACAGATGTTTGTTTTCTGGGCAGTACATGGGATAGTCTGTATTCTTTTCTAACATCACAAAGGCATTGATTCTTCTTCTGCCATCCTTGTTCATTATCCAACTTTCAGATGCCTAGCATGTAATTGAAAAGGTCATGGCTGATCTCCATGGTGGGATAAGAAATGAAAGAGATCAGGGGCAGAAACAGCAGGGAAAATACAGCCATCATTAGTGCCGCATCCCTGGCACTGTGTTTTGGGCTGAAAAAACTGCTCTTTCTGTTGATGAAGTTGACATTACTGCCTCCTACTTCTCTTGGAGGCCAAGGAAATAGCACAAGTTTCACTACTCAAATGAAAAAAAAAAAAGAAAGAAAGAAAAAGAAAAGTGGATTATGGCTTGAGTCATGGAACTCTGGTGGCCTAGTGGCAAAAAGCTACACTACAATCCTGAAGGCACAGGATTCAAGGCCACCAGCTGCTCCATGGGAGAAGGATGGGCAATCTCCTCCCATGTGATTGTCTCTGAAAACCCACCAGAGGGTCAGCTATGGGTTGGTTCTGACTTTATGGTACACAACAACAAGATGGCTTGAGTTAGGCCCTGTAGTCTTTAAACTGTCATGATTAACTGGCTATTTCTTGCTCACTTCTGTAAAGTCAGGACTGACTCAAAGCTAACCTAGCTGTGGGTTTTTGGAGGATATAAATTACATGGGAAAATATTGTTCATCTTTCTGCTGTGAAACCACTGTGGATTTGATCTGCCAGAGAGATACCACCTTTGAGTTAACTCTGTAGGGACTTTACCACCAGAACTAGACTTAAAAATGCATTGCTGTTATTGCTAGGGGCCGTCAAGTCAAGTAAACCTCAAAGTGAGTGCATGAACAACAACAAATCTGAACCCTGTTCTATCCTGTGCCATCCTTACAATCTCTGACACACTCAAGCCCATTGCCACAGCCACTGTGTCAATCCACCTGGTTTAGTGTGGGAAGCTGAATATCAGGTTTGATATTAATATTTAACAAAAGGCTGTATGTGGACATGAGGAAGACATAGATACAAGCTAGAATTCCTCCTGTAGCACCAAGGCAGACCTTGGGCTTCACAGAGGTTAAATGTCAAGACAGACCTTGGGCGTTTCCATAATTCTTAGTTTGGATTTACTAAATCCCTCCCTCCTGAGGTAAGCATAAGGCAAACAATAGAGAAGATTTGGCCTTATTTACAAAAGATTTCTCCAAGATTTACTTCCCCATCATCCTTTGATTTTGTTTACTCCCTCTTGATATTCTTTTGTTTACTTTCTGGTGATTCTCAATAACAACCCAGACCTCAGTTCTCCCAACTGTTAGCCCCCTGCCTTCATGCTTTCTGGCCTGACCTACATCCTGAGTGTCCCCATCTCTGTCTTTTCCTTTGATTGACAACATTAGGGTCTTCTTCTCATTTACCATCCTTCTCCCTTTCCAAGCCTGATGATGTCCCTCTGCAAGGAATAGCCTCTCCTAGCAACGTGCACAAAGTACATGAGACCAGCTCTGTCATCTTTGCCTCTATACTCTAGCTGCATCTTCTCCAAGACATAAGTGTTTGTTCTTTAGGCAGTCCATGAGATATTGAACACTCTTCTCCAACACCACAGCTCAAAGTCACTGATTCTTCTGTAGTCCTTATTCATTGTTTAGTTCTCAGGTGCATAGGAAGTTACTGAAAAGACCATGGCCTGAATCAGGCAGGCACATCTTAGTCCTCAAACTGCCATCATTATTCCTGAATAATTTGGAAAGTTCCATGACTCAGACTTTCTCAGTACACTACTTCTGATCGCCTGAATGCTAGTACCAAGTATATTGATTGTGGATCTAAGTAGGATGAAGTCATTAGCAGTTTGTCTTTTCTCCGTCTATCTTGATAGTGCCTTTTGGTCCAGTGGTGAAGATTTTTGTTTTCTTAACGTTGAGAGGCAATCTAGTAATAAGTGAATACACAGAAGGTTTACATGCATAATCAAAGGCACTTTTTTTCCAATTAACTGTTTATGAAATAAGATTATATATATTATGTGTAAATATCTGAAAATACTCATTTTCTGTATTGCCCTTGATTTCTTGAGCATATTATATCATGCATATGATTAACTTTAGCAATCATAAACTGATAAAAATACCTTTTAAAACACATTTTCAAATTTAGCTCACCCTTGGTTTTTATTGAGAATTGATATTAAAAAAAGCTGTATGAAGAATTTTCATCTTCTGCAAAATTACCAGTAGCAGAAATATAGCTTAAAGTAGCTGAAGCCTAAAGGAGAAATATATTAGCTAAAGCATCAAAGAGCAGGATCCTATCATTAAAGTTGGTTTGATCTAGCGTTAGGGAACTCAGATGCTAAGACTGGTAGGCTTTGCCTCCATTTCTCTTTTTCTTTGCATGTTAGCTCCTTGCTCTTCCCTAAATGTGGAACCATGGCCTATATCCTTAGGGTTTCTTGACCTGAAAGAAGGATTTTGGTTTTTTGGGGATCCCCCCCCTGAAAGCTCCGGGAGGAAAGTTCCAGAGAAGGATTCTGATTGGCCTGCCAGGATTAAGAACTATTCACAGGGTGGTAGAGAAAGGCTGAAGCACTCTGTTTAAGAGAATCTTATCCCTAAGGGAAATGGAGAGATAATGATGTAAACATCGAGAACAGATGGTACATGAACCAGAAGTCTCAGTGCAAGACGTTATACTTGGCCAATATATTTCAGTTTAGTATTTAATGACAGAAGTGGGCTTTCATTTTTCTTTTCAATCTCAACAACTTTACAATCTTAAAATCCTTCACATTTCCCCTAGAACTGATGGAACAAAACCCAAAAAGCTCCCTGCCTGAAGTTTTCCAGGAACACAGTGGCTGTGGCATTGAGGAAAGAGATGGTTGGTTGTCTACAGTTTGATAAATAAGAACAGATCAAAGTTTCTATCTACTATGTGATAACCTTTGTATTACTTTTGCACTTCTATTTTTCTTTGATCAAGAAGCTACAAGTGTCATTCTCTAAAACTGGATCTAAAAGTTTCACTGAAGAAAATACTAAATGAAAATACTTATTGCTGTTTTGTACTGTCAAGGCTGAATTGACCCATAGTTGAAAATTGATGTCTTTGAGTTGTGCTATTGGAGAAGAGATATGAAGATTCAGTGGGTTTTCAGAGGCAGTAAACGGCACTGGAGGGAGATTGATGATCTTTCTCCTGTAGAACAGCTAGTAGATTTGAACGTGGTACCTTTGTTTTGGCAGCACAATTCCTTACTTCTAGGCCACCAGAGCTCCCTATATGAAAGTATTTACTGAATGTCAATCAAATGAGTCCAGTAAATATATAGGGAGCACAGTGGTGTAGTCCGTTATAGCACTGCGCTGCTAAACCACAGGCTTCAGATTCTCACAGCTCCAATCTCCTAAGGGGAAAGATGGACAATCATCTCCTGTGTAATTTGTTGTTGTGAGTTAACAGTTCTGAACCCTGTCCTATCCCGTGCCACTCTCATCAGCTCTAACAAACATTAGCCCATTGCTGCAGTCACTGTGTCTATCCACCTCACTGAGGGCCTTCCTCTCTTTCACTAGCCCTCTACCTTTCCAATCATGATGTCCTTTTCCAGGGAATAGCCTCTTCTAGCAACATGCCCAAACTATGTGAGATGAAGTTTTGCCATCCTTGCCTCGAAGGAACAGTCTGGTTGCACCTTCTCCACGATGTATCTGTTCTTTGGCACTCCATGGAATCTTCATATCTCTTCTCCAATAACACAACTCAAAGACATCAAGTTTTCTTCTGTTATGTCTATCCTTGTCCAGCTCTCAGATGCATAGCAAGTGACAAAAAAAAATCATGGCTTAGGAGAGGAGTGCACAGCTTCGGGGAGCCCAGACCCGGCAGCCATGGCGGTGGAAGGAGGGATGAAATGTGTCAAATTCTTGCTCTACGTCTTTCTGCTGGCCTTTTGCGCCTGTGCAGTGGGACTGATCGCCGTGGGTGTAGGAGCACAGATCCTCTTGAGTCAGATTAACCAAGGGCCCACTCCTGGCTCCTTGTTGCCTGTGGTCATCATTGCAGTGGGTGCCTTCCTCTTCCTGGTGGCCCTTGTGGGCTGCTGTGGGACCTGCAAGGAGAACTACTGTCTTATGATCACGTTTGTCATTTTCCTGTCTCTTATTATGCTGGTGGAGGTGGCCACAGCCATTGCTGGCTACATATTTAGAGATAAGGTGGTATCAGAGTTTAAGAAGAATTTCCAGCAACAGATGCAGACTTACCCAAAAGACAACCAGACAGCCGTGTTTTTGGACAAGCTGCAGCAAGAGTTTAAATGTTGTGGCGCTGCTAACTACACAGACTGGGAGACCATTCCTCTGGTGCCCAAGGGTCAGATTCCTGACTCCTGCTGTGTCAATGTCTCTGCGGGCTGTGGGATCAAGTTCAATTCAAAGGATATCTATACCAAGGGCTGCATTGAGATGATTGGGGGCTGGCTGAGGAGCAATGCGTTGGTAGTGGCTGCAGCACCCCTGGGCATTGCTTTTGTGGAGGTTCTTGGAATTGTCTTTGCTTGTTGCCTCGTGAAGAGTATCCAAAGTGGTTATGAGGTGATGTAGGGGGTCTGGACTCCTCAGCCCTCTCATCTAGGGGAGTGGGGTAATAATACACTCCAGGTTTTTCAATTAAACGGATTATTTTTTCAGACCAAAAAGATAGTCATAAAGAGTGATACTTAATCCTTTCTATTCCCTCATCCATGTTTCCTGACCTCTGGAACTGTGTTCTCTTTGTATCTCTGGGGAAAAGCATGCCTATCTAAGGGGGTGTTTGGGAAAGGAGGATTTGGCCCTGTGCCCCTCTGTCCACCTAGTCTTGTACCACTAGACTCTGTTGAGATTCTGTCCACCTAAGTGCCCAGCAAACCTTTGCCCTAGCAATCTCCAATGGAACTTGGCTCCTTTTAGGGTGGCAAGTATCCTTGATCCCAGTGTTGCCAGGGTCCACTTTTCTTGTGATAAAGAATTTACATTTGTGTTACTTTTTCTTCCTTTAACATTACCCAGTCTGGCTTTGAGCCTTTTTCATTCTCTCCCTCCTACCTAAAAGAAAATGAAATAAAACCATTCTATTCCAAACATTGAAAAAAAAATCATGGCTTGAATTAGGTGCACCTTCGTCTTCAAACTACATCATTTCCCCCAGTACATTAGAGAGTTCCTTTATAGTAGGTTTCCCCAAAGCAATATGTCTTTTGCTTTTTTGATTCCTAGAGTGTTGATTGTAAATCCAAGAAAAATGAAGTCACTGACAATTTCAACCTTCCCTCCACTTACTATGATGTTCCTTATCAGACTCCAGGGAGGATTTTTGTCTTCTTGATGTTGAGACATAATCAGTGTTGAAAGATGTAGCCCTTGATTTTCTGCGGCAAGTGTTTCAAGTCTTCCTTACTTTCATCAAGCAAGGTTGTGTCATATGCATAATGCAGGCTGTTGATTAGTCTTCCTTGATCCTGATGCCTGTTCAAGCTGGTTTACAAGAGCCTATGGCATCAAGGATGTATTGCTGATGTCATATGAATCTTGGCAGAAAGCACAGGACTCCAGAAGAATGAATTTTTGTCTTTTATTGATTATGGGATGCCTTTTGAATGTGTGGATCATATTAAACTATGGCTAACACTGAGAAGAATAAGAATCTCAGAATACCTAATCATACTCATATGAAATCTATACCTATATCAAGAAGCTGTTGTCTGAACAGAACAAGGGAACACTGCATGGTTTAAAATCAAGAAAGGTATACATTAAGTCTATAGCCTTCCTCCATACCTATGACATTTACAGCCTAGGAAAACCTATAGAGGATCAGTTATGAGTTGATTCTGACATGATGGCAATGAATTTTTTGGTTTATTTTTTAAATTGCATTATATTTATATTGATGATTGGCTGACTTGTTATGTCAATATACCTTTCATCTCCAATGTAATCTTAAATTTTAACTGATGCTAGCCGAATAGTGAAGACGAATATCCTGGATAAGATGGATTGACACAGTGACTGTGACAAGGGGTTAAGTGTGTCAGAGAAAGTGAGATTGGCTCAGGATAGGGAAAGGTTCAGAGCCATTGTTTATAGGGTTGTTATGAGTCTTCGTGGCCTGGATGACACATAACAACAATAATAAGAGCTGAATAAAATTTAATATCATCCTTTGTTGCTGCAACCATTGTAAACAGGAAGTTGGCTCCTAGCTAGCATAATTTTGACCTGTGTTCTCTGGTTTCAAAATAAAGGACTTTAGAGAACGGTGACACCTGTAGCTTCTTGGTCAAAGAAAATGAGAAGTACAGATGTTTTTTAAAATACAACCACACAGAGTATATAGAAACTGAAATCTGTGCTTACTTATCAAACTGTAGATGGCCATGTCTTTCCTTAATACCATGATCATTGCGTTCCTGGGAAACCTCAGGAAGAAAGAGTTAATTGTACTCACAGTAGCAGTTCTGTGTTACCAGCCAAGTTTAGCTCAATGACAATGCTGCAGAAAGACCAGGAGCAGGGCTGAGCTTTGTTTGTCTTTCACGACTGTGCCTTCTGCATTTCAAGATGAACACATCATGAATAATAACCAGTAGCTTTGCTAACAGTACCCAGCAGTACACTATACTGGTAGTAGTTCCCCACCCCCTTTCTTTTTTACAGAACATTATTGTATCATCGTATTTCCTAGAAAGTATTTTTTTCCTTTATCTAGTTTCTGAGTGACATATAGAAAATTATGTGTAACATCCTGTGTGAGCAAGCTAAAAGCTAACAAATTTATGAAAGGGTCAGAGACTTCAAGCTAAAAGGCAGAAATAATGAGAGACGTTCTTATCATTTATCAGCATTGAGCATTATTTTGTTAACACAAAAAGTCAAGAAATATTTAATTTAGCAAATAAATGATTTTGTTGTTTTCGGAAAAGATGATCTGGACCAAGAAGTGTCACGCTTGCCAACAAGATCGTTAGATTCTTCCCAGCATGCACCTGAGCACTGAAAAGGGGGGCGGAGTTTGAATAGTTTAAAGAACTATCATCATTACGTCCCTGCTGGTGGATCAGCGCTGGGTCAATTCTCTCTATGGTACACAACAACATCATTAGATCAAACTTATTATAAATTAAAGAATGGACCTAGTAGAGCTAATTCTGAGTAAGACATATTTTCAAACGAAATAAATTATCTGTTAACTCTTAAAAAAAAAGAAGAAATCTTTAGTTAGGTCTGTTCTTTATAAAGTAATGCTTTTTTATGCTGGCAGATAAGCCATCCCCACCACGACTGTAATAACAATAATGAAAGTTAGATGCCTATGTTATTTACCAAATCATAATTACAAGTGTAGCCAGAGTGTTCTTTGGAGGTGAGGATGATGAATCTTCATCTCACATACTTCGGACGTATTGTCAATCGCCAGAAAAAGAAAACTTGGAAAAATGGAGAATCTGTCAAAGATAGGAAGACTATTAGGGATGTGGATTGACACAGCAACTATGACTTAACAAAAGCCAAGATTGTGAGGGTGGCACGGGTGGCTTCATTCTGTTGTACTTTCGTTTTGACAGGAGTTGCACCAGTGAATCCATAGCCCTTACTAACAACTCAGTGTTCATCCCCACTGCTCCTCTGCTGTACCCCGGGGGCTAATTTAACAGGGCCAATCCCAGTCTATTTCAGAGTATTAATGTACTGACTGTAATAGTAAAACAAATGAAAACCAAAGTTCAAACCAGGGGGGGAAAGGAAGTAATCTATCTACAGTAGGGCTATAACTCAATAAATTATGGTGCAAATGTACCATGATATTTTGTACTACCAGATAGATTTACATATCATCATATGAAATGATGTTCATAGAACATATTTAAATAAAAAGTTTTTAAAAGTATAGTATGAAACTATGATTTCAAAAATTCTTGGTATATATGTTTGTTTTCATTTCCTCCATTTGATAAATATTTAAGAGTATTTAGCATATACCAGATATTTAGAAACTGGCAAAATAATGCACCATAAGGCAAAGGCCTTGGTCTCATGTTATTGTTGTTATGTGCCGTTGAGTCGTTTCCGACTCATAGCAACCCTATGCACAACAGCCCTAAACCCTGCTCTATCCTGCGCCAAC